CTGGGCTGGGCTGGGCTGGGCAGAAAAGACTAAAGAAGGAAGTTTGTACCTTACAAAAAGTTAAATTCTGGGCTGGGCAGAAAAGACTAAAGAAGGAAGTTTGTACCTTACAAAAAGTTAAATTCACTAGGTAAGCAAATCTTCTCAAGCCATTCTTCAGGCTTACTTTTAACAACATTTGTATTCATTTGCACCTCTACTATTTTTAACAGCTGTTTTTCATTCTCAAGGAATGCAATGCAGCTTCCCAAATTAATTGATACTTATTTGAGGAAAAAGCTTCCTCTTCATTTGTGGTAAATATGGTAAGTGGGAGGTAGGCATAAATAAAAAGCAGATTTCTATTTTCTCCAGAGAAGATTACTTTTTCTATTTATTGAACTGCATATTGAACAGAAGCAATATGCAATTAGTTCTCAGTTGCAGAAATATTTCTAAGCAAAGATTTATATTCACTAACCTTTGTAATAAAATAAACAGTAATCTGCTAGAACAAACCATCTTCTTTTCCACAATCTCATTCCAGAGCTATCCTGAAAACACAAATGACAATAGATATCTGGCATACTTAGAATAAAATAAAAGTAATATCGCAGAAATGTACTATATACAGTCATTCCAAATGTATCTTTAATGTATGAAAATATGCTAAAAAAGAGTCAGCTATCATAGCATATCATTATCAAGCCCACTTCTGAATGTTTTTACAACTCTTACAGAAGGTAGGGAAAGTTAGGAATTAGCATAAAGTAAAGCTCAGTGGAAGAAGAGCAGTGTCTTAGCAGAGATGATTAATGCACAGATGGTAGGGATGGAGAAGACACTCCTATGACATGGTTTGTCCCACTATTGTTCCACTGTAGTTTCATATCCATAAATTTGTTAATATATCATTATGAATATCAGTATGGTTTAACAGCATGAATGCACTTCTTAATTATACAGTATATCCCAAAAGGGGAATTTATCACTATGAAGAATTTTGGATTTACCAACATGGGTACAATAAAAAAAGTTTATCCTTCAACATGGCCCCAAATTTACAGTTTTGGATCGATGATGTGTGTGAACTGAGTCTCTACTGGTGTCATAGAAAGATTGATCGGTAAGATTCAGTGTGATTAAGGTTTAATGATGTGTTTAAAAAGTGGGTTGAGTGACTTTCCTCATAGGTATTATGTTTTTCTCATTTCCTTTCTTATCTTTTCTTGTTTAGTTCATTTCTTCTTTTCTCTCCCTTTTCTTTGCAAATTAAAGCAATTTTTGAAAAAATGCATAATACTTACTTGCTTATGAAGCCAGCCTCTTACCACAACAGGGACATTAGGATTCCTCCTTATAGCCTGATCCCTTTTCCCAAAGCTATGAACTTTATTGCCAGATTTTATCAACTAAAAAGAAAACATACATAGGATAAGTACATACAAAATATATTTAGGATTATCCACAAAGAAACAACACTGGAAAAATACAAGAATTGATATTCTACTATTGATTATATATTTTACTCTGTTAGTTGCCTAAGTACAGTGGTACCTCGGGTTACGAACGCCTCTGCTTACGAACTTTTCAGGTTGCGACCAGCTCCAGCCGCAAAAATTTACCTCAGTTTGCGAACTCTGCCTCGGGGTACGAACCGGATCCGTGGCCATTTTCCGCCGTGCCACGTGGTCCGCGGCCATTTTTCCGCCCGTGCCACGTGGTCCGCGACCATTTTCCGCCCGTGCCACATGGTCTGCGGCCATTTTTCCGCCGGTGCCACGTGGTCCGCAGCCGTTTTTCCCCCCTGCCGCGTGGTCCGCGGCCATTTTTCCACCCTGCCACATGGTCCGCGGCTGTTTTTCCGCCCGTGCCATGTGGTCTGCGGCCATTTTTCCGCCCTGCCGCGCAGTCTGCGGCCATTTTTCCGCCCTGCCCCATGGTCCGCGGCCGTTTTTCCGCCCTTGACGCGTGGTCTGCGGACGCCGGAACAGAATAACGGTAATTACATTGAACCTTATGGGAAAATTTGCTTCGGGTTGCGAACAAATCGGGTTGCGACCAGAGTCATTGAACGGATTAAATTCGTAACCCGAGGTACCACTGTACTAACAAAATAATTAGCAGAAGTAATTTCACAACTTTTCAGTCCTCCAAATTCAGTTGCTTGATCTCTGCAGACTGGGTAAAAAGAAAACTGCAGTGCAGAACCATGGATCCTTGGGGCTACTGGGTGCCAGTAGGGTGTCTTTTCCACGTCTGTCATTTTTTGAGATGGAACATTTATTTTTCCCTCTCACAGCTGCTGGAATGTACACATTTAGAGCAATAAAAGAAAGGGAAACCAAAGTGAATTCTATTTCAAGTCTAAAGTGAAATAGATTTAGCGATTCCTCCAAAATTTCACTGAGTTAAACCAAATCCAACTGATAATACCTCCTATCCAAATCCACACATAGAAAATTGTTTCGAAAGCTGAATCTTACTTCAGCCTAGTGAAACAATAACCTCTACTATACTTGAGAGAAATAAGCTAGTATGAACAATTCTACTGTCACTTCAAGCTCCCCATCTCTCTATTCCTGAGGTGCCTGCCTCAATGTCTTATGGTAGAACCAAAACCGATGTAAACAAAGTAGTTCCATATCAAGAGCATAAAGCAGGTACCTGAAACTATATTTTCTCATCAGCACCTGTAACGGTCAAAGTACAGTGGTACCTCTACTTAAGAACGCCCCTACTTACGAAATTTTCGAGATACGATCAGCTCCGGCCCCAAAAATTTACCTCTACTTACGAATTCGCCT